CTCACGATTGATTGGAATTCCGCTCGGTATTCAATAATAGTGTATTTGTGCTATTAAAATGCACGTATAAACTATAGGTTTTTTAAAATCAAATTATAGGTGGAATTTATATAATCGAGTGTCATTCACATTCCCTGTTCCTTCAGGAAATGTAATCGAGTTTAACCTTCCTTAGTAACACGATTTTCTTCAAAACCCATGCTTAACAATTTTGAAGTTGTATTTCGTTTGAATCTCAAATTTTCTCTGGTTTACGACAATTTCGACAGCCTGGAAATACAGGTGTGCGTTTCTGCGATCTTTTTGGAATCCGACTATTTTGATGGACTGGCCGAGACCCACTGAGCGCTGAGGTGACCTGAGCCGTGTCGTTTTGGCCGCTGGGCGAAATATTATTTCCTCTTTTGTCTGACGAAAATCCTCGGTGGCTTCATGGGTGTTATTGTGATGGGCCCGATCTCAAATCCAAGGTGGGTCACAGGCGGCCGTAGCGGAAACTGCGGCATTTGGAAGACTGGGTAAAAGTCAGGAACAGTTTTCGCCGACGGAAACTGTGGCTTCTCACTTCATTGAAGCCCTTCCTTCTCTGAGCAACAGTCGTTCAGAAACATTTTTAGTTGCGTAGGTTTTTCTCTTGCCACCTCAAAATAAGCAATAATGTTTCTAGCTGCAACTACAGTAGAAATTCACCCGGAAAAGTTCTTCGTCGAGCAGCAGAAGCAGAACGAATTCGGATTTTTTTGCTCGCTCTGAAAACACCGCCTTTCAATAGAACTACATACAGTACTTGTTTGCTGACTCAAACCCGTTGAATTCTAAATCGTTTTCAAAAGAATTGTTTGCCTCGCCGTCGCGGCATTTCATCGAAGGTCATTGCTTCAAATTGAATACGATATCTTCGTGCATTAGTATGATGAAAATTCCCGGATCGCCTGCTTCACCTTGAGTTCTATAATCAGGAACTACTTCGTCAGTTGTTCGCAGGTAGATAAAAAATCCGGATAGTATTATTTAAAATGTTTTGGATCAAACACTGCTTGCGCGTGGAGCGGTTGAAGAATATTTCTGGAAGTGATTGATTTTTGCATTTGGTCAGCAACCCTATAGTGAAACGCAACGGGAATAATTTGATATTTATAAATAATCCTCGAGAGCAGTCTATCGATTTTTGTGTTTGATTTGCATGATTGTAGTGTTTACTCGTCAACTTTAAAAGCCAAGAGACCATGTGAACTTTGGAGGGCATTGCTTTGTTGGCTCTCTGAGTCGTCCGAAGCGTGGGAAATGCAGGATTAATGGTCTGAAGCAGGGACTATTTTCTGTTCGACTTCGCTCGCCTTTGAATAAGAAAGCCCTGGTTTTGTTTGTCTGGAGAAGTGAGGGGGGAATGATAATACCGTATCCGCCGTCATGAATTACGTGACGCGCGGATTGTAGCGGCTTCCGCTTCGAAGTGCGGACTTGCCCCGAGGGCGATCACCGACAGGCCGACCATCTCTCGTCCGCCTCGCGCTGATGAGCGGATAAAGAAGCTCGTTGTCTCGCTTTTAAATTGGGGTATTAATAGATTCAAACTGTTTTTCCGCCGCGGACGGTATAATCAAACGATGGCACGGAGTTGTTTGAGCAGTCCGCGCGCTCTTTGCACGAAAGAGCGGCGCGTGTCCCGAGGGGCGGCTTTTAAATTCCCCCTAAATGACGTGCGGGGCTGACAGTACGTGCATATATAAGAGCTTCTGGTCTCTTTTCTTGTGAATTCGTCATCGTGGGATGTTGATGGACTCAATTATGGATGGAAAGGATAGAGAAGCAGCGTATTGCCGTGTGAAAACCGATACGTTAAGCTGAATCTTCCTCAAATTGCTTTTGAGACGGCGCGAATCGCTGCAGCTGCTACGTTTCTCAATTTTCGTGAAATGGTATAGTTATCAGAGCGGAAGAACCTGCAAAACATCTCAGTTATTAAAGTGGAAAAATCTGCTAATAATCTCAATGCAATAACAATTTAAAATCTCACTTTTACGAGGTGCCGTTAGGGAAGCTCCAGTAATGTAGAATAAAGCATTTTAAAAACGGTATTTCCATTGCTCTGGCGTCAAATCTGAAATTTTACTCTTTGAGTACTGAATCATTGTGTAAACACTGTTTTTTCACTTCAGTGCATTTTTTGTGAAAATTCAGCGGAATTAACTTGATCGTAGGCAGTTGAATTATACCGTGCCCCGCTTATTTTTTTAATGAACATTCTCGCTAAAATCTGATGACGTTGCTTAAAAAGGATACATTTAGTTAATTTTTTTTATGCATTTGACAAGAGGGGAAGTAGTCCAATTCTGCCATTCGACGTGACAGAGCAATTCGGCACCGGGGAAAACCCGCGCCCGGAAATGGACCCGGAATAAAAACAGCACCGGCATGACCATCTAGACAACTTATCAGATTCAGTTTTCTGCAATTTTGAGTAGATCTCGTTTTCTGTGCCGCTGAATTACATGGAACTTTTTTCGGATCGATTTTTTCGCAATCACAGACTTTTTTTTGTCTTGTTGAGCGCCGAAAATTGTTTCTTTCCTTGTGAGTGGAGCATAATTTGTGAAAGCGTGAAAGAGATCGTTCAAGTACCGTCTTTTCCAAAAAAGGGGATTTCGGTTGAAAAATCGCGGTAGGCGATGATGTAATACTACATTGTTGAGTGAAGCAAATTTGTGACGTCCTGAGTATCAACCAGATCAGGTGGGCCTTTCGTCAGAAACTTGCTGTATAAGAGCATGAATCTTATGTGATGCTGCTCAGCCACGTGCAATTCCAGAAATAGTTCAATGTCTCGCACTTCTATGCATAAGAGGCGCTTTTCCAAAAATGCGAGCCTCCTCAGAATGTCTTCCGGAAGGAACGGAGGCGAAAATCCTGAACTAGCATTCGAACGCATGCGCAGCACGTTTTCGTATATTTTTAGACTCGGCGACCTGAGGCATGAGAGCATTATGGGATTCGAACTAAGCATTTCCGCTCACTGTCCTGCCCACAAACCCAAACCAACACCAAAGGAACGTCCCAGGAAAGAAACTCGCGAACCTCGGGGAGGTATTGTCAGGGAGCTATAGAATAATCCACACACACGCCTGGACGGAGCAGCGGCTGCCATATCGAATGCTCCGTCTGCCACTTTCGCGGGAGCGGCGAGCCAGTCCGCGAGAACAAAGGCGGGTACCGAGCGGAAATGGAGGGTGAAGGTGCACGTCAGCACTGAACCGCGGCTCTGCGCAAGTTCCATTCCAGGCCCCGAGCACTGGGGAAAGGGAAAAAACTTCTCCACTCCTGTCTTGGTTTCGTTTCTCCTTTGGAGACTGCAAATGGAAATTCCCTGTCCGCGAAAGAACGAGAGGAATGGAGTTGATTTTCCTGGTCGGCCATATATTTCTTGCCGCGGAAGGGAAAGGGGGCTGATGATTTTTCTCCCAAATCAGGAAACACGCGTAGGCTGCAAAAGCCCATTAGCTTTAGCTCGGGATCATTATAGCTCATAGCTTAAACTTTGTTTTTCCATCGTCAGACTGTCTCCAAAATTTCATAATGAGCAACTTCTCAATTTTAAATGACTGCCGCGGGTGATCTCAAGTCTGGCGACTGGAAAGTCGATTGAAGGCGAGACCCTGGGGAAACACAGAAGTGGGTTCTGGCCACGTCGACAGCATGTCGGAGCAAGCAAAAGAATAATGTGGAAAGATGGATTGCTTTCCCAGGATCGCAGCTCATTATCTACGTTACTTCGAGCTTTCACATTGAACGATTAAATTTTTTACAACAGCTTGATCACACATGTCATGAACTTCCGACTTAATCGTATTAGCTCGAGCCTTCTGCGAGTCGTATAGATGAATTAAATCTTAAGGTATTTTTATGCATCCGAATCGAACAAACGCACTAAATAATAATAAAATTCTTTTTATATTCCCTTGTCCATCACCCTTCATTTCTTTGCGTAACTTCAAATAAGGGTTAGTCATGGCAAAATCATGCGTCATTTCATTCATTATGTGCATTTGTTATTAGTTGTGCCTCCGAAAGCCTCCAAAATTGAAGCTTCAGCGTCAAGCGAATCAAGCTCAGGTTCTTTTGCATGCAACTTTCCTTTTCATTTTGTTTGCCATTCCGCGAGAATCACAGCGATGCTATCGCGCTGCATTCGTATTTCCGAAGTCTTCTCCTTTTTAAAAGTAAATTCCTCGCATATAGCTGTCTTTGTCACGAGCAGCTGTAAAGTTTCTTGTTCTGAATGCATACCATCCTCTGAAAACGATTTTGGGAGTTATAAAATTATTTCTTGACGAAGTCAGCATCTTGAAACGTTCAGCGAATGATCAGAAGTAACTGTACAGCACTGCTGTGGGATGTTCCAGGGCCAGGAGCACTCGTGCAGTCATAAATAAATTTTAATCCTGTAGAACATTTTTACTGAATCAGAAGCCAATTTATTGTTACTTGGCTCTTATTTTCTCTCCCTCACCCTCATGATACTCGGGGTACGAAAATACATGCCGTATTTTAATTAGTACTGTGCTCTTCGACAAAGATGCAGTTAATTCCCAGACAGTTCCGGTCGTTCGCAACAAGTACATAATAGCGACGACTTCTCTATTGGCACCCCTTTCAGGTGGATGTATTTAAACTGAACTAAGCAGGTTGTGCATGCTTATCGTTGCTGAAATTCCTGTTCATTCAGCAAACGTAGGTTTCGCGGAATAAAACATTATTCATAGCTCCAACAGTTCGTAATGAGGTAATTTTTAAAATTGAATATCTGGCCTTGAGGGAAAAAAATTTTTGCCGTTCGGTCAAACTTTTGTTCGTACCATACCTTCGGTCTTCAAGTTTTCCGTTGAACTGCTGAGTAAACAAGCAACAGGGGAAACAGTTGGAAGATCAGCTATAATTAATTTTACATTCCAGGAAAAATGTGAGCTCGAATTTTTGCCGGACCCTAAGGAAAGTTGTCTCTCATGAACAAAACTGAATACATATTTTGGAAAAAAAGCGTCACAAAGCTGCTTTACGGCACGCCTCCTCAAACTCACTGTCTCGCCGCCGAGGCTTCGGTCGGCACAAGTTACTGTGATACGCGGACGCAGAGCCGTGACCGTCCTTTTGGTAGTTCGACGTCTTCTCCAGTGTGGAGTCGACGACGACGACCGTGGCCGGAAAGGACGTACCTCCGGCGTCCGAGGAGCTGGACAATCCGGCGGCCCGTAAGCTAGCGGAGTACTTCTCCAAGACCACCCTACGGCGGCCGAAACTGCCGCCCCCGCCGCCACCGCCACCGCGCAAGGCGAAGGCGAACCGCGTGACCGTCACCTTGGCGGAGGACGCGGAGCAGCCTGGTGTAAATAGCAGTCCTGTGATGGTCGTCGTTCCAGCGGGCGACGACGCGGCAACTGTACATACCCACGAAAGCGCTTCAAGCACGGATACTAACCCAGTCGTCGACTATCGTCAGCTTTCCTCCTGTCCAAGCGATGAGTCGCAGTCAAAAAACGTCCAGGCACCCACTGGAGGTACAGCAAGCAATCCTATGTCCAGTTCGTATGGCACCTCTGAGCTCGGCAAGGGGCTCCCCAGCTCGATCATGGAGCGCTACAAGGGCGCCGCCATTCGCATCACGACGTGCGGAACTATCGAGAGCCCGGCGGAGGTGGTCGAGTGTGATTACACCGTCTCCGACAGCAGCCACGTCGGCGAGGGCCAAGAACCCGGCCCCACTTGCATCACGATTTCTGCCACCAGGTCAGCCCCCTCATTTCTCACCTAATTATCGCCCGTCGACTCGTGTGTCTCTCACTCCTATGGAGTCCTACTGTTGCACTTCTTCGTCCTGTTTCCTGCTGTCAAAACTGTTGCGTCCCGCTTTCTTCTGCAATTCCACCAGGAAACTGGTTCTCAGTCACCATGCCACCATCGCAACAGCGATTCGTCTCGGATGATATTGAAAAGTTGATGTACTGTACCCTCATTTATGCGCTCATTTTGAAATAACGACCTGTTGCTGTTTTGACGATACCGTATTCCCGACGAACAGACCACACCCAACTTTTTTAAAGCAATTTCAAAGAGGATGGGGACCTTATAGGCTTCAAAATACAGCGCTTGAAAACGCTAAAAAAAAAACGGCGTATGCGTATATAGGAAACGTGGAAATCTTCCGAATAATGAAGTTACGATCAGAATAAACAGATAAATAAATTATCCGGCACCAATGATTCCAAACCCACGGCGGTCAAAAATTTTATGTTGGCATCCACGTGTTCGTTTTCGCAGATATGAAATCGCTATTATAGGCCGCATAGGAGAGATTGGGGCATATGTGCTAATTTTTCAAATAAAGGCAGCATATGCGCTAATATCTTGAGCAGAGGCCGCACCCGAGTTTTCTATGGTCTAGACTAGAGAACGGTTTCTTTTCTCTAGAGAACCACTGCTGCCGATACACTCGTATGATCCCGGTATCACCATGCCCATACTTGTATCTACCCAAATGTTGGTCATACCTTGTTTTTTTTTCATTTTTGGGAATTTTCAATCTCCCGTGCATGCTCACTTTAATATCTCGAAAATCAAGCGTTCAAAGATATTAACCATTTTTCTCAAGAATGCAGCGTAAATACGGCATTTTGAATTATAATGTCTGTCACCTCAGTGCCAAGACTTTTCAACCGATATATAGTAAGCGGTGGATGCAGACCCTGTCTAACTATGATAGAGTCCGGTTTTTGTGGGAGTGTTGCACGGGTCGGAAAAAAATAAATCAAAATTGTTTTCAGACTTGAAAATCTACCCAGTACTTCGAAAGAACTAGAAGCTTTTTATAAATGCACTTTTGGAAATTGCGAATTAGGGATGAACAACTCTTGGGTTTTTTATTTTTCTGACATGAAACCGTAGTGGATGATCGACACACAGGAAATTATTCTGAAACCGTGGCACTTTTTGAAAAGGATGCAATGCAGAGAAAGGTGGAAAAGTTCTGATAAATTGCTAGTCCACAGAAAAGCAGTATTCTCGAAAAAGATCGCACACGAATCTGAAGCTTCTTGAATAATTGGTCCGTGGCCTAATTAAAAGAAAATAATTTAAATGAAAAAAAATTATCCCAGGATTTGCGACAATTTTCGTTCAGATAACCTGCCTCAAACTCGTACCAATTAAAGTTCAAACCTTGCTCCAGTACCGAGCAGGTTATGGAAACAAAGCTCCTTTCAGCAGTACCGATTTTAGCGAGTGATTCAAAACTTTTTGGTGAGCCATTCTACTGACTATTCCGTAAGTGGAGCGGTTGAAAGGCACAGTTTCACGTGAGCAAAGGACCAGTAATTCGCACTGCCTTGCCATGATGTACTGGCCGATCCACGTCTATAGCATGGAGACCAATAATCCTCGCATTCTTTAATGGATAAAATTATATGCCGGAGATGGCAATTTTCTTTGAATTGGGATCACATGCCTCGCAGCATACACTTCATTCATGCAAATTCTGACCCGGAAAGTGACGGCGAGGGTTCGCGATCGGTGCTGCGAGCATCGTTAGCGTACCAATATATTTTCAGACACCTCTCCTCGACAGGCAATCTGGCGTGAAATCTTTCTTATGAAATAAACAATTGCGCCGGGAAATGGGAATCATTCTAGTCCGAGCAGCAGTGCATCGTGAAAATCAAGACTGAGGTGAGAAATAATTCACGGCTGCGTCGACCCCGGCACCCGCGTGTGAATATGAAAAGCTTCCGCCTCCCGGTTGACTTCGGGTCCCACGGAATGAAATGAGCAATTATTTTTCTCCCCCCCTCTTTGCGGAGTAAGTCACGATATCGTTAACCCTTCCTCGACGGACGCCCTCGAACTCTGTTCGGTCCTGGTTTCCTCTCTTTTTGTGTCTCGGTTTGCGTCACACTACGCCCGATTTCCAGACGATTGAACCTTAGTCACCTTGTGGCCTTGTGTTTGATATCTCACGCCTGTCTTGAGCCTTCCTGGTCCGGCTGTTGCGTGGCGGAAAAATGAGAGTACACGGACCGAAATGCGCAATCTTACAGCCGAGACACGCTCTACGAAACAAAGCAAATAATTTTCTTTCGAACAAAGAGCTTTTCACCTTTTTTCCTGGCTTTTATTCATCGTCGTTTAAAGGCGGATCAATGCTTGTACTGTACCCCCTCTTGGGTGCCGAGTTTCATCAGTGACTTCAATTCACATTGAGGACAGGCCTACTGCACAATACCCTCGCGATATATTCACTCATCATGCTACCTTCAAAAACCCCGAACTGCATTTTAAAATCAACGATTGTTTTTTGTGCGTTGTTTTTCCGACTTCCTACCTCACTTCCAAACTTTGTTTTTCAAATTTTACGGTGCGTGTTCAAATATGACACCTTTACAGTGGCAAACTCCCCCATACCAAATGTCATACAACCCGAACACCCCGAGTGATTTGCGTACCACTGTTGTAAAGCCCTTGTCTGAGTTACATTGGAAAACAGGAAACACCCTGCGAGAAACTCGGTGTTTCCAGCTGTGTGATCAGTCACGGGGCTTTGAGTGACGTAAATTATGAACCGATTTCGGAATAAGCTGTTTTATTGCATCGCTGCGGATCGAGTTATGATTATACAGTAGTGTATCGTAATCGCTCTGGGCAATAAAATAAAAATACATTCTTGGGATGCCCTGACTTTAATTCAGCTACGCTTTCATGTCCCACGCTTTTAGGCTTGATCTTCGCTACACAAATCCTGTATGCTTGAGCACTTTTTCGTGGTTGAATCGAGGAAGTTTATTCTAGAAAGCATTCCCGTCGCCGAGGTATGCAAAATTCAAGTCGGATGATGTCTTGGATTTTTCACCACTCGCATCTGCAGATACGGATTCGTAGAAACCATCTCCTGACCCAAATAAGCGAATGCACGGGAGTTGTGAGATTTTGATTTGCAAGTGATGTTTTCTAAAATGCAATCCCGACAGTTTCCTTGAGTTATTTCAGCATTGGGATTCTTCTGAAACTGAAGTGCCCGCTGTCACGTTTCGACTTGATGGATTATCCAAAACGGTACTAGAAGAGCAGTCTGAACTTTGAAAGAATGAAGTTATATAGGGTCGGATGGCTTCGAATGGAATTCCCCGGCAGCATCGTTCCAGAAATAAAAGGGACTCACGTCCGTAACTCTCTCCTCCACTTTTTGCCCATGATGTCGGCGCGCAGCATTTTTCGCGCATGGCCCGTCTTTTCTGGGTCACGACACGATTTCCATTCTGCTGTGGGTACGCATTTAAATTTGAATTCTCGCATGAGACCTGGTCCGACCGACTTCCTCCATAGACCCCCTGCGAGGTAGAAGATTCTTCAAAATTGAATCGCACGCGGCTCCTCTCGTTGAAGTTATGCTAATGACGATGACCGAAATGATGTGGTACTCTCAGCGCGTGGACATTTTTTTTATGTAGATGAGAATGGATAGTGTCAGGCTTGAGCTTCGCGGAGGAATTCCTGCAACAGGATTCCGTATTTTATGGCGGCTATTTTTCCATTCATGCGGCTATTATCACTGCATCAATTTGAAGCCCATCAACTTGATTGCCTTGAACTGAATGGCATCGTTAACAACTTTACTGAAACAACTGAACTTCACTCAAATGCGACGATGATAGGCCTCACCCTAATTTTGGAAAAGGGGGGGGGGGTAGGTTAATATTTACATAAACCTGCTAAATTTCTTCAAAAATGTGTAGAATCTCGTGAAGCAGTAGTTGATCGCTTTTCAGGAGAGAACGATTCTTTTCGTGTTCTTAATTTGAAAGGAAAAAATCTGGCTTATTCACGTGCAAATTTCCACAAAGAATATTTTCGAGAAGTTTAAAAAAGCGAACAGCTTTTCAGTGACAGTCCCATGAGAACCAGGGACACGTGGAAGTCCTTCAGCGGACCACAAATTGAATTGTTCCTTTTAAAATCTGCCTTTTCTTTAATTATAAGATGCTCCTTGACATGGTAAATTGTAGGCCGCAAATTTCTAGTGATTTGTATAATTGCACAAATACAGATTAGATTTCTGACAGCTACAGTTTATGTGGTAAATTTAGCTGCTACATGGTAAAAATCGTACCTATGATCTATTCCGTGATATTTAATCTGCTGATAGGTATTTTACTCGCATGAAAAAATCTTCCAAAAGATCTGATTCCTCGAATATTTGCCGGAAAATTAACGAAAGAAACGTTATGCGCTTACTTATCATTGCGGTGTGAATCCCTTACTCATTCTTCAATGAGATTTATGCTCGTGTTTGGATATATTGAATACAGTATATTCCATGTATCCTTGCTTGCATCTGCTTAATTTATCCGGAGTCAACCGTCACCAAACATGATGCATTTGATGCGCATGTGGGGTAGAATATTACTAAATCCCAAGAATAATATCTGAAAATAAAAAATGCATACAAATTTGTACACAGAAAATATTCACATCCATTCGTTGCGATGTATTGGACGTACAGTACAGAGTTCCGAAGGTATTTGGTTAGGCTGTCAAGAAGCATTTTTCCAATGCATTTTAGTGTTCAAAAAATCTATTTAATGTCATTATCTTTGGTTTGGTTCGTGGCGTAATGGTGATTCAACTGATTTCGAAACGCCCGGTGTCTTGAAGGATTGCTCAATGTCGAACGTTTCTGAAAGGCCTGTTTGAATCATTTGTACAGGCGGTCCTGTTTGAGCAACATCCTGGTCATCAAAAATGACGTAGAACTTCCACTGGCTGGCCGAGGAGCCTGCAGCATCCTCGATGAGGACTTGCAAAAGGACCTGGAGGAAGTAGAGGCTCTATACGAAGAAATCAGTGAACCGATCTACGAAGAAGTCCTCGCCGAAGACGGCAGCAAATCGACCGCCGTGGAATACGAACTCTGTCTCAAGCGCTGCTTGCTCGGCGAGGACCAACACGTCAAGTCCCTGTTTGACGGGGCTTCCAGAGACGAGATCTTGATGTACTTGGAAGGGGTTCGGGACCGAGCCGGACTCGTCAGCATTGACGAGGATCCGGGTCCCTTGCTGGACGTGACGATAGGTCGGAGGAACAGCCAGAACCGCACGAGCAACATCAGCACTGCATCGGACTCCAGCGACGACTCGTCGACGAGATTTGCGCTGAGTGACTTCCTGAAAAACAAGGTATGTTCAGCCTCTGGAAAGATCTATGCCAGTGCACCTTGTGTAGTTGCATCTAATGATACCCGCAATGGCCTGGTCCAAATCAGCCGGCGTGACAGACTACACAGCAAATTAATTTATAAAAAAAGAAACAGCAACCAGAAATGCGTGAACTTCCGTGCTCGAGCTGCTTCGTGGAGCTGTTGGCTTAAACTCGTATAGCACAGATCCTTGGTTTGTGGCTAATGAACTTGGAATCCAAGTCCCGTACTTTACGAAGCCTCCAGGGAATGCATTTTCTTTCATGAATTACTATACTGTACTAGCATTTTACTTTTCAATTTTAGCAAGAAACGATTAAATTTTCGGAAAAAATCGTTCCCCTCATAGCGATTAAGAAATTCTGAGCATGAGGCATTTTATGAAGGATCTCACCAACAAAGAACCGGTCAAGGGATGTTGATCGGTTGGGTAAGTCAGTGTGATTATACAACTGAAAGATAATGAACAGAAAACTTATTTCTTGGCCATATTTCGCCTTTTGCTTTCATGCATTATTCCGGAGGAATCCCATAATAGCTGAAGGTGTGGTTGTTCCTTTGTGAACATGGCAGTTGAAAATCATCGTGTATAATTCCTTAGGTTCAATGGAAAGATACGCTGCAGAAAGATCGTGTTGTCGTCTATTGAATTTTTTTATATATCGAGCATTGTTCCCATCGTAAACAAAAGATTCGTGTAAACATACCTCACAAGTGCATGCTGAGTTCCTCATTGTACTAATACAATAGGAAAAAATAGCCGACTTTCTCAGAATTTGGAAGTTCAAGATCGAACATCGAAAGCCGTGAAATGACAAGTCCTGGTTGAAGTACAGTACAGTACAGTAATTCATTGGAATGCCAACCGCAAGTCTCGTATAGAAAAATGAATCATTGCTTGCATAAAAAAAAGTGCGAGCTCGATGTATTTTTTTAAAACCTCTCAGACATCATCGTTCCAATGTATACATTTATTGAGAAATACTAAAACTATCTTGCTTAATGTTCTTTAACAATAGTTTTAAGCCAAGGGAATTACTTGCGATGAAATAAAAATCGAACATGTAGTATCATAAATAGTTGTCCTTGTTTTCTTTCAAAGAGTAATACTGTATAACGGTGCATCTAGCTTGGAAAGGTACGGTATTCAGTTTTGCGTGTTTGTCCTTTGGTACCTTCTTTGGTTTGAAAGCCTTATCGACGTACTGTATACTTGTGTTCAAATTTTGTTCTCCTGCTCGAGCCAGCAGGACATTTGCAAGAAATTCGTGGATTTTAGCTTTGTTTCTCTTTTTGAATCAATTGAGGTCATTTAGCGTAGTTGTCTTCAGTTGAGTGTTGAGTTTTATTCACTCGATTTTAAAAGTAGTTATTGTAATGAGAAATGTAATCCAGATATATAGTGAACTTGGTTTTATGATATCGTGATTTCATAACCACAAACGGCAGCCTGTTGCTCTCAATCCAACAGGAAATATCTGCTTTATTCGTCTTTCGTCCGATGCGGAAGTTTCTGTCGGAGTCCCGGAAGTAATTTGATCTTGATTACTCACTGTACGTAGGATGGCGTTTGTAATTTCTTTCTAAAATTCTATCAAATACTTCGCTGCTCAAACATGCTACAGAAGCAACACTATTTTGAACACGTCAAATCTCTATGTTAACGCCTTTTGGTGTGTTTCCTTCCTTTCAACTCACTGCAGCAATACTCGGAATCCTCCTTAAATCATCATCGTGACAAGTATTTCAAAGCGATTGAATTGTGGGAGAGTTTATATTTTTGGTTAAAAGACTATGATGTAGTGCAAGTCTATTCCAGTTCCTGCGCTGTTCAGTGAAATTCTACTATCGGATTCCCATGGATTACAGAAACAAGAATCCATCTCTCGACTGGAAAATCACCTTGATTCGCCGCTTTCGATTTTTTTTAGTATCCGAAAAATACTGTATGCGAATAATTGTTGCGAAACCACGGCGATGCTTGCAAGTTGGTTCCGACAACACACACGACAAGGGACAAAGGAATACTGTAGCCACGTCGCGTCGTGCGGAAACTTACCAATGATCACCCGGGCCTAAATTCCCTGTGCACTGGATACAATGACGATTTCCATAACGATAAAAATCCAACGCTCTGTTTTTTTCTTCCTGGCCTAGGACCGTCGGGGATCTGTGGAGGTCGAGCGCAACGATTCCGGCGTCGGTTCGGAGACGAGCAAACCTTCGTTGACGAGACGTTACCAGATTTCTTCCTTGGCTCCACCGAGGCCTTTGCGAACGGCCAAATCATGCGAAGGAACTCCCCCGCAAGAAGAAGAGGAAACGCTTTGCAGCTCGGAGAATCATACTTGTGAGGACTGCGATCTGCCCATCAGCAACAGAGTCGTCCAAAGGTGAGCATTTATGTACGGTTTATGATCAGGCGTTTGTGTGATGTCCTTTTACTCGATCTCGATTGTACTCGAAGGCCACACCGTCGTGTTGGGGAGATATTTGAGGGAACGTTGACTGCATGCGGCCCCCAAGAGTATGCATTTATAAGAACACAATATTTACGCATATATACAGTGCACTGATGAGACCTAATTTTCTGATGCAATGTTGCGCATAATAATAAACACACTGGACATTCGATGCACCTTCAGCGGAAAGGAAGAGTCGTTTTGTTTTAAATTTTTTGTCAAGGTGTTCAGTCCCATCCTTGCATTTCTGGAATGACCTATCCGATGAAATATCTTGCGTATGGTTTAGGGATTTTCGCGCACTCTTTGCGGTAAAAAAAAGTGCTATGATGAAGGATTCGACGTCGGACCTAAATATTTGTTTCAATAATGAAAGAAATGCAAGTGCGGTTGCCATCTTTGGTTCGCGCACTCCTCTGGCGGGCCCGGCCTGGTACCCATTATTGAATATTTGGTTAATCATGAACTAGTGCGTAAGATTATTCCTTTTTTCACGAGTCAAAATTTTATAATTCCTCGCCAGTATTTTTGTGTTGCAATATTTTTGTGTGCATCTTCATAGAGTAAGAAGAAAATTCCGACGTGGAGGAAATTATAGAGAAACTCAGGGGAGAAAATTTTAGTGATAGCAAGCCCCAACATTAATATTGACACCTGACGCAGTAACGCTTTTTCAAATTGTGATTCTGTCTAAGAATATATTCTTGGGTTTATTACTCGATTCCCCAGAGATTCCTTTTTTGAAGTAATTTTTGTTCTTTATTATTCTAGAATTCACATTACAGTAGTCTTTTACTTTTCACGAGGAATCATAAAAGTTTGACGCGTGAAAAATGAATAATCTTGATTTCATTGCATTTTTTAAAACAATATTCTCCCCATGCAACGTTTCCCCAAGTTCTTTCCTGTGTGTGAAATTAGTCTCGACCAGAATTTTTTCCGCCTCAGTGTTTCCACCGGCATTTTCTCCATGTCGGGATTGTCCTTGTAACGTTTTTATCGCCATGTCGTAAGTTTCTATGCTTAAATCCATGTTATTTTGGATTTTCATTCTGCAAACCACAGGGAACAGAGACAAAGTTAAAGATTCAACGCCCGGCATAACCGCATCAATAATTTCAGCGCAATTTTTTTTTATCGCGAAAAGGTTCTCCAGTCACTATAAAATATTCTTTGCTTGAGCTGTACTTTTCAACGCAGTTACAATTGCAGTATTCGCAAACTTTGGTGTTGCGATGTTATCATAGGCAGAAGCTTGGGGCTACCCAATCGTCCCTTTTTATGTCTCCTACTTATAAGGGACCATTTACATGAGTCGAAGTGAAAGCTATACTCTTTCACTTCGACCCTCCCGTAGATCGAGGCTAAAATCGACGGTGTAAAGTACCGTAAATGTCCTCGCTTCTGATATCAGAGGCTGTAACTCCGTACACGCGAGCGTAGCCCAGTAAAGTGCTCTTTCCGGAGTTTTTTTTTTCTTCAGGATTCGTACTACACCTAGCACAGCTGGCTTTCTTTGCCGTTTGAAAGTCGAGCTTTTTAAAAAAAATCAATGTGTTGCGTGGCTTTATCTTGAACCATGCTGCTCAGAAGTTCTTGCCGTGGGTGTTTTGTAAGCTGGAGGTACTTTTGAAGAAACATTCTCTGAGGGCCATTTTACGTAAAAATGTCTTAAATTCTGCGCTTCAGTTCGAAAAGCTTTTTCGAAAGCGTTTTGTAGAAGTTTTCTTTTCTGGGAACAAGCGACGAGGAAAATGTGGGATAGAAATATTCCCGAGAACATCATTTGGATTGAAGACGCACAGCACGAATTATAGAAACATTTATGAAATGGATCTTTAGTACAGCACTGTACTGTACTACTCCTGTGGGAAACCCTTTGAGCAGACTTCCAGATGTTTGGTGTTGAATATCAGAGTTTTGCATTTTTTCAGGGAATTCTCTTTGATATTAGACCACGCGTTTCGAAAATCCAGTCATTTACTGCTTCAGGGGGGGGGGGGGGGGGGGGGGGAAAAAAAATTTTTCCCCCGGGAAGNATTTTATTTTAGTTTGTCGGGGGGGGGGGGGGGGGGGGGAGGTAATAAAACTTTTCCCACGGTAAGCAGCTATTCTTTTTGCTGGGCTCTGATATGAACAGGTGCGGAAGAAAACCAGTAGCAATAAAATCCCGCTGCTACGGTAATTCGGCAGGCGGTCTGGAAGACTGAAAAAAATCGTCATTATTATCTGCAGAATTTTGTAAAAGTACAACGATGGAGTTGAAGCAATAAACTCGGTTGGTCACGCATTTCGCTATCTGTCGCATTCTAGGACAGCCCTGACGAGATGCTCTTCGTCAAAAATTAGGAAGAAATAATATGATTTTCAGAAATAATTTTTTTCAACTGCTTTGCTTATCCTTGAAGTTTTTTTTTAATTAGTTCCCTTCTATGTTAAACTGAGTGACTTTCTCAGGGAGTTGGATGAACCTCGTCGACAAGAGAAGTGAAGGACTGGCATAGCTCCTTTTTTGCATCCGGTTTTAGGACGAAAAGGGGGGGGGGGTGAGGGTCAAGGTTTATTCCCCGTCCAGGATTCATTTGGCAATACCTGACTTTTTTTCTCAGGATCTTGCTGACTAGCTGTCTTGAGTGCCACACTGCATTATTGGATCCCCCGCAGGAAACTTTACGATGCCATAAACGCATTCTTGGCAAGCAATGCTCACATTCCGCGGTTTGTGTCAACTCCCCTTTTTCGTTCCGGGCCTGGCATCTTTTGGACGGCGGCGACTCAAGGTCATTCGGATGTTCGCCGCTGCGCATTCCCCATGTCCATCGCGTCGTGGGCACAACGATGCCGATTTTGTAGATCCCTGGCGCTTTTCGGCATTCCCTGAGCGCTCAGACCTGGGATTCCTCGCGCGAGATCGTTGAACCATCATGCTGCTTAATTACCTAATGGATCATCCGGACCCTTTGTTACCTGCTCCTGATCGTGTCCCTCCCTGATCTTTCTCTGTTGTTGACGGGGAAAGATTCCTGGTTGGAAAACCACGTCGGTCTTCTTGAGTGCGCGGCTGGATTTTGTGTGCCCACCTCAGCATGAGTTCCTTTCTCCTAGAATATTTACGTGTCATTAGGGAATTCTACCGCCGGCGACTCCCCGCGAACTTTGCGATGAGGGTACTCCATTTTGTTAGAAATTATGACTTCGTGGCTGTAAAAAAAAATTTATCTGTAGGAAATTACTTGGCTTACAAATCGAATTCGGCGATTGATGTTTGTGGCGAGCAATGCTCATGCAGTATTTTTCAAATTCGTGTCCTTCGATTATAAAAAATAAAGCGAACATCTGGGAAGATCGAAAATCAAGGAATAGGTCGGAAGCGATGACCAGAAGTTGGGGAAGTTTCATTCGAAGTTCCTTTCTGTGCAAACGTTGCAATATTGCAGACCCAGGTACGAACTTGTAAATAACTTGCGGAAAATCTCAAGAATCTTGATATAAAACCCTTCCAAGTCTGGTTCACAGAATTACCAAAGCGCAGCGGGGTTCAAATCCCCGACGGCGGGTCTATAAAGGACCCAAGCAGAGTGTATTTCCCGAGTCTCAAAAATCTGTTTGATGAAAAATCCAACAAAGTTCAAATATTTCACGGGGGGAAATTTGAAGATACCTTCCAGAACGACTGCATGTACTAATCGAAGTTCTTGGGAATTTTCACTTTCATTGATGACTATAAAATGTAACATACTTGATAATGTTTTCATTGTTGGAGTAGTATATTTTGGAGGTGCACTTTCAGTTTGACAATGCAGCAGCAATCGATCAAATATGATTGAATCCAGCAGCTTTCACGTATGTTTGCGTGATGCATCAAGGAATCCTATGTCTGTCGGAAAGGACAAAGTTTTCATTCATTCTCGCACCATAATCCATAAGTAATTTTAATACCTGCATCCAACTAGCAAAGTACGTTGGAGGAATTCACATCATTTGACAGGCTTCTTCTCACTGCGCACGTTTCACAGTATTCCCTTACGTTGATGGAAGTTTTTCCTGGGATTTGTTTGAATTAACTCCCCTCCCCTGGCTCCATCTTGGGCTAAAAGCTTCTTTGACTTTCGCCTGAGAGCAGAAAATACATTTCATGCACTGTATTTCGTGAGAATCGAGAATGGATAAATCGTGATGATGGAGTAAAAGAGAATGAAGATCACTGAGAGGAAATTTGAGGCAATCATTTCTCGCTCTCCAGCTTCACGTTTTTCTTTCGTCCTCCCCTCAACTGTTCTGCGAAAGCAGAAAAGCCGTATTAGAAAGTGGAACTTTTACAAGAGAAATTCTTCGTTACAGTATTTCAATATTCATGTATTGCATTAGTAATCAAAGCAACTTTGACACCTGCTTCGTATCATCCGAGCGTCTTAGCATTAAGTTTTTGATTCTCCAAATTTTTTCGTCCCTCTGTGGAAGCATTACCGATTGTTGAATTTGAGGTTCACTGAATTGCTTGAGCTGAATAATTCATTACGAAAAGGACGTGCTCGTTTTTTGTCAAGTACCTGCATCACTTACGAACAGCAAGTAATTTTAAAATTACCAAGCCCAAGCCCTCGTGGATTTGAATAGTTCAACCGCGGGTATAATGAAATATGATTTTCAACACTGGAAAATATTTTTAGCGTAATGGGCTTTTCACTATGCGTCAAAATCTCGATCTCAGCCATTCTTGTGCCGATCGCGTAGGTAAATTTTGGTTGTTGAAGGAAATTCGTGCATGAGGAAACACTGCGTCTTTGTACTCGCAGCTGTTTAATGACTAAATAAAATGTGCTAATGAGGTTTTAATGGATGCTTCGCGGAAAAGAAGAACTGCGATAGCGGTTCGCGAGACGGTTCGGCGGGAGTGCCTCGTCCGTCTTCATTGCATGCCTTTGATACCGTGCATGTGCTCTTACTCCGGCCAAAATAGTACATCGTAACGCCCACACGCGCAGAATCCAGAGATCACGATCGTAATTATGAATTATCTTCATCATCAAATGTCCATCCCCAACCGTGGCAAGAGAACTTGCGATGTCCGTTCAAAATAAACGTAATCATGTCTCGAATTGTCTTATACCCGCTCGGAAAGTAAGCCAGACGCAGAACGACAAACGCACTGGAGGACGATCGTTGCCGCACTTCGCAAGGCCTCTCCTGAAGCGGAAAGTACTTCTGACGGACACTTCGGTACCCAAAGTAAAAATTCAGTTTACAGGACGAGCACTTTTTTGTTGCTCGTTTACGGGTTGATTTTTGCGCTGCTGCACTTGCGATAATATTCATTTTTGAGGAGTTATAAACGCGTTATTATGACATTTATGGCAAATGATAATGGGACAATATAAAATGGGTAGTTAATTAAGGAAACATCTGGACAATCAAATTGTTTGCGCTTTGGGAGGGAGCTTTAAGGTTTTCCAGGGCAAATCCCAGTGTGATGGATTCAGATCTTATCTTATTCCGAGAAAAATATTTTTTCTGGGTGATGCTATTATACTACGATATTTTTCTCTCATTCTCGAGGCGCCATCCACGAGTCCTGGTCCTGAAAAAATTACCTGATTTAATTTCCTCTTCCAAGAATTGAACACCTGTAGTTTCCCACACGATGCCAGAATTTTTATTTACATTGCCCCACATTTATTCATGGAATGTATGGTTTTTTTAAAACTAATAATGAATCCCTCGTCACCCGAAATAGAATATATTTCAAATTATCGGGGTGAAAAGCGCACAAGCTTCGAGACGTGAACTACTCACACTTATTTTTTTATTTCTTGGACTACTGAGTCGTTGCATATGCTGATGATGATGTTGCATGAAAGCTCTCAATCGCGGAGAACCCCTACACATATGCTTCAGCTGCATCTCATTAAATATTTCTCTACTGCTGACGAATTGTGGAAACCCATTGATAGAAGACCTGTCGAGATTCTTGCGTGTACCTTATGTTGCCAATTTCGCTAGGTTGTACTGGGAAACGAGATCCGCATCATAATAAGTTATAGCCACGAATCCTTGTCGGGGGCACAACAGTTTTTCTTTTTTTTTTCACTTGAGGACGCAATTCTCCACACGAGTGGCGTTGACGATTGCGCAAGTTCCTTTGTATTACGCGCATTGTCGTACACTTCGGTTTTGAAGTTGAATCATTGAGAAGCTTCGTACCTGGGAGTCTCTCGGCGCTCGCTGCATCACACATACAATGTTTAATCATAGGGTAATTCGGCTCCATAAGGAGGAAGTTTCTTCCGGTTTATTGTAGAGGACGGAGCCGGGGAGTGTAGGCTCGAAATCAAGACGTGAAATGTGTTTTTCACTGCCGACTTCATCAGTAAGCGCTCTTAAATCCTTTTGAGGTACCATGCGGTAAAATTTTATATCGCGCGGGGCTCATTAGAGCCATAACGCTTCAATTCCCTCCACGTCAAATGCTACCTTCTTTCCATCACAGTAATCAAGGTTTTAATGCTTCTGCTGGAGTCCTCGGACAAAACCCAACCCATACATGTACCCAATAACGTGACCCGTCTGAGCAACCCAGACTAACTTCTCACACCTTGTACTGCAATCATCAAACTGTAGAAAACTGTTTAATGGGTAAGAGGCGAGCATGATTTCTTGAATTATGGACGTCGTGCGTGAGGATTTCGAATTAAGAATTTTTAGTATCCCCGAGATACAAATCTTAATACAATGCTTCGCTCTTGGAAATCCTTGAATGGTACTACGATATTTTTATCGTTGAAAAACGAGCGCTTATTTTTTTACAAATTTCGTATTTGTGTAACCTTGGAAAATATGACAGGCGAACGAACGAGATGAGCGAAGCTATCAAATCAACCGATTCTTGCTAGGTGGGGAAGAGAACTGAATATTGATTTCACTTATTTTGATTACACGAAAATGAATTGTCTGATTTTATGTGTTGTATCAAGGTACATGATGACAAGTTCTGGCTTTGATTAATGACCATGCCGTGAACCCGAAAGCGAAGCAAGTTTTGAAAAGTCACGGAAGAGTTTCCGCCATCAACGAGCATCACAAAGTTGCAATCGGAAGCGGCATTTTTTTGTTTCAAGTCTTTAAAACGTTTAAAGCTTCAGACAACTGCGATGATCGTTTGATGGGAGGTTTCTGATGAGCTTTCACACAAAGATACGCTACGCCAAAGCGATGAGGGTTGCTCGAACCACGAAGCTGTCGAGGACCCCCTGGTGCATGAATGGAAACCGAGGATGGAGCGTGGATGAATTTCCTGCTTCTTCATTCATGTTTCCGAATGTTCACAACGCGTACCTTTCACGTCACGACCGACGTCACCCGAGTGACACATATCGCAGATGCTTGACGACGTCCGGTGTGTGTCTCCGGTGAGCCGAGCTCATCGATCACCGCCGCGGGTGGATGCGCCAAGCGCCGTGTTGTCGCTTGTCGGCCCGGGAAGGGAAACTCGCTGAGGAGCAACCCACCGAATAACTTTCCTTTCTTGTATGTTTTTCGTTTTTTTTTTTCTTCCTGAATAAGAACCTTTTTTCAATCTAGTATGATGGAAATCAACTTAATTTTCAATTTTGTGAGGCTTATTAGCAGTCTTTATTAAGGGGGGGGGGGGGGCACTGCCTCTTACGGATTTCCCCGGACAAAGATATTTTATGAGTAAAACACCACAATCCGCCTGGGACTGTCTGGGAGCCTCTTTATAGAGTCTCCAAGAAGTTAATATTTATGAATGTCCCAAAAGAATCAGCAACTCAGCATCTTCTTCAAGAGAAATATACACACACACACACAAGCAACAATTCACACAATTTTCAGAG